CATAGGCACTGATGGGATGGATGTAGAGAGAGTGCAAATCTGGCAGTCGGATGAGCGGTGGAAACTAAAGTCCGAATTCCGTGTATTTCCAGCATTTCCTGGGTGTGCTCAGCTCTGTGGTGCACCGGAGGGGGCATGAGACTCAGCGTCTGCCACCGGGAAACCTGCAGTCTGGGGACAACGGGGACGGACACGGCTATCTGGGATTCGAGAGTGAAGGAAGGAAGCCAGCTTTCCCCAGAAGTATAAATAGTGGACTGTGAGGGCCCAGACAGAATGATCCTGTTTAGGAGAGGAAGTGCATGAGAGGATGGCTTTTTAGAAGAGGTGGCACTAGTGCCAGGTATGGATGGATAGATCAGTTGAAAAAAGAGGAGGCAGACGCTGCATGCCGAGGAAAGAGCGTGCTCAAAGGCACAGTGGGACCAAAGTAAAGAGTGCGTTTGGTAGAATAAAAAGAAGTCATATGAAGTTGAATTGAGGAGTCTCCCTCCCTCCCTGTCTCCCTCCCTCCCTCCCTCCCTCCTTCCTTCCTTCCTTCCTTCCTTCCTTCCTTCCTTCCTTCCTTCCTTCCTTCCTTCCTTCCCTCCTTCCCTGCTCCTTTCCTCTCTTCCTCTTAATCGCCCTCCATCCCTTTTTGATCCTTCTGCCAGACACTGAGGATATGTGCTGAACCAAACATGTAGCCCTCTTCGCTGAAGCTTAGAGGGGCAGCTCCCCTTGCGTTAGGAATGAACCCCAGGGAATTAGTCTGAGGAGCAGGGAATGACTCACAGCTTCAAGTTCAGCTAGAAAGCTCTTTCAGTAGCCTAGAGAAGATAGACTGGGAAGCTTCCTCAGGAGAATTGTCATGGCACTGCAGAGGTGGGGTGTATGCCATTAATTGTTATCAAAGCTCTCGGTGGAATTATTACGTAGTCTAGTATAAGTGGTAAAAGCATGAACCTGGAAGCCAGACTACCTGGGTTTGTACCTCAGCTCCAGTTCTCACTAGATGTGTAACCTTGGGCACATTGTTTAACTTCTCTCTGCCTCAGTTTACTTACCTGTAAAATGGAGATAACAATAGTAATTCCCTCACAGAGAAGTTGGGAATTAAATTACTTAATACTAATAAATAAACTCTTAGAAAAGTGCCTGGCATGTGTCAGTCCTGTAAAAATATAAGCTATAATTATTAAATTATTAAATTCAGTAAATTATTAAATTACTTCTTCTAGTGCACTAAATGAGGGTGAGCTTTCAAAAGAGGTGCCAGTTGATCCCACTTTTGCTGGAAACAGTAGATGAAATTGTTTTGTACAAGTAAACAGCTTTTCAGGAATATGAAAAAATCACACATATTCAACTATTATGGAAAGAAAGAAAGAAGGAAGGAAGGAAGGAAGGAAGGCAGGCAGGAAGGCAAGCAAGCAAGCAGTAGCAACTATTTAGAGCCAATCTGGCTATTGTTATATTACTTTTCTTTCCAAATGTGGGAAGAAAGTTAAATGCAACACACGCGCGTGTGCACGCGTACACACACACACACATACACACAGACACACACACTCCTATGTATCTCCTTAGAGGAGACAGTGTGTTTATCCATTGAAATATTTCACTGACAAGTTTTGGAAATAATCTCACAAACTTAAATCCTGGCCTTTGAATTATTTCCAGAACTTTTGGCTATAATGTTGGGGTAGAGAGAGAAGTCCTATGTGACTTACTTTCTACTTTTATCATCGAAGCAAATGGCCCATTAACACAGCTCCTTCAGGCTGAGCCCATTAGATGATGCACGCCCTCCAAGGGCAAGGACACTGGGAGAGTGTTTTCTAGTGGTCAAGGGCAAAATTATTTCTTCTAGTGGAAGAATGAGAACAACCCTCCTTTTTGCACATAACAGTAGATATAAGAAAGCACCAAATATACTGGGCAGAGAAATTACCAAGATGATAGCTGTCTTCAAAGGCAAATTCCTGTTTTTATAATCGAGGTTAGTAATTTTGGTTTCAGCAACGGTGTGTCCGCATTAACTATTCAGAAATGACGTTAATTTTAAGTTTCATCAGTATATGAGGAACGTCTGTTTACTTTTAAACACATTTGCATATTTGCATTATTAGCAGGGTGTTATAAAACCAAAAAGAAATTTCAGGGAGCTCACTATAGATTTTGTACCATTTACCCTTCTTTAAAGAATAATCTTCAAAAATCCCAAATTACTTCTATGTTTACAACAAAAATAATTTCTATGATGATAGTGAATAGTTAAGCTTCCCAGTGTACTGTCTTCAAGGGCTGTTGTTTTTTCCCTTGCCTCCGGACATCATCTTAAACACCTTCATTCCAAACTACCAGGCATTTGAATTGTACACAAATTTAAATTTGCTGTCACCAAAACAAATGTGAAGCGTTCCTGTTTCTTGTTTCTGGTGAGCCTCTCCCTTCATTCATTCACCCTCCTCACCTAGGAGCAGCCACACCTCGTGTGTCAGAAGTGTGCCATACAGAAAATGGAAGAGGCCAGCACCTCAGGGTCAGTGCTTGGCCATTCATTTCCAGGGTCCCAGGAAATACTACAGCCAATGCATCCAACTGTCACTTCCATCCTCCCAAATCCAAGCATTCAGTAGGGCCTGGCCACACTATGTCTACAGACACCATGGTGAATTATCATGCAGGGAGGCTTGGATCAATTAATTAGTAGGTCTTATTGAAGCCAAATATAATTCATTACGCAGTTTCGAGCTATTCAAATTTAACTCCCCTAAGATTACATCATAGAATTATTGGCAAACAGAAAATAGATATCAGTAAAGTCTCTTCTTGGTGAATCCTTGTTACTCACCTTTGGTTACCTAGGACTCCTCCAATTCAGGCATACACATTTTGAACATGCAGCCCACTGTATGAAAGTCAAACACACACACACACACACACACACACGCACACGCCTCATGGACTTAAAGGATGCTTTGTTTTCATCTATCTGATGTGATTAATAAATTGCCAAAGGGTAAGGTAATGTGTATAGACATGGTAGCACCCATTTAGGATGGATGATAACTGTTTTCTTAGTTGCTCACCATGTTGCATTCAAAATAAATTTTAATGAGCATCAAAACTGAACAAGAACAAGAGATACTGACACGTCACCTCTGTTTGGTGACACCAGATTTAAAATGGTTAAAGATATGAAGGCCTGGCAGTTTGGTATAAATGTACTTAAAATTATGTCAGGAAACTGGAATAAAACAACTTCAGACACATCTTGGGATACAGCCTTGATTCCTTTGTAATGACAAAATAACACCAACTAGTTTAATTATTTTTTATTTTAATTTAAGTTCTGCAATACAGATGCACAACGTGCAGGATTATTACATAGGTATACATGTGCCATGGTGGTTTGCTGCACCCATCAACCTGTCATCCAGGTTTTAAGCCCCACAGGCATTAGGTATTTGTCCTAATGCTCTCCCTCCCCTTTTTTCCCACCCCCCGACAGGCCCCAGTGTGATGTCCCCCTCCCTGTGTCCATGTGTTCTCATTGTTCAACTCCCACTTATGAAATAGTTTAATTATTACTCATTCAGAATTGTAAAAGCACAAACCATTTCTCACTAAATTAATCTTTACATTAAAATGAATGGAAATCTCTTTCTCACGGTATTTCACCAAACTTTGTTGTTTGGTTCTGTTTTTTAAAAGAAAAATAAGGAAAATGACTTTAGAGAATGAAATATTTCAAATGTACATTGGTATTTAATCTTTAACAAATGTAGAATTTAATAGTATCATGAATATGCAAGGTCACATACATACTTAAAAATGTTACATGTAAATTATTTATTTATGGTATGTGTACGAAAGAGAGAGAGTGATAGAGAGACAGACAATGAGAGAGAGAGGATCAGTGTCATCAGCTTAACCATTTGGGGATACATAAGTTCAGATTGAAGGTAAGTAAAGCATTTGACGAAATTTCAGATTCATCCGATGGACACTGATTGCTTAAGCTTATTTTAAAAAAGATTTTAAAAATTGTTTAAGAATTCTTCTGAGAAGCCATATATTGCCATAGCCAGAGTTCTTCCGTACAGGATGAGATTATACAGGTTGTTTTGAGTTTCATGGTTTACTGACAAACCTTAATAACAATTCTGGTTTCATTTCTGCTTCAATTATGCAAAAGTGAGAACATGACTAATTAATCCTCTCCAGTCAATAGCAGCCTTGAAGGATTTTTGATCATTTGTACTGTAAATTTCTTTTGAATATTGATATTTCAATATTCAAATTGGCACCAAATTATTTGCCCCACTGAAGAGTACATGCTGAAAATGTTTGTGAGTTTCAAAGATTCTTCATGTAGGTACAAATTTTAAATCTTGACAAAAATGCTTCATGGCTTACCCATTAGATAGTAAAAAGTCAGTAATATCTGAGTATATGGAATGTACCAATAACAGATAATGTACAATTTTATTCTTCCTTTATGATTATCCTAGTGTTATCTTAAATGACTTTTTCACTGATGTTCTTATATAACTTATTTGCTTTTTACATTTTTTTTCTACAAAATCAAGAGACAGTTCCCTCTTTTTACAGTAGCCAAATGTATTAAGAGCAAACTAAATTACCAGATAGAGAAGTTCTCACCATATATGGTCAGAGCGTATTTAATTTCATGCATGCGTGAAAGATGATAATGTGATTTCCAGGTACTAAATATTCCTTAGCCATTCACACTCAGTACTATTATCTGGAATCAAACTACATTAAACTTACAGAATGGTGAATTACTGAAAATAATGAAGTTAAGGCAATTCATTAATCTTTATCTGCTTGTCTTTTTTATAGCCTGGATGAAATGAAAAAATTCATTTGGGGGACTGATCAGATTTCAAAGGGTCTAACATTATGAAAAGAAACACTGGACTGAAAATGTTTTTTTTTTCGTTTTTAATTACACACAGCACCTTTCTTACATGCCTCTGTTTTTCTTTTAGTGGCAGAGCATTTCTATAACACTGGTTGAGAAAGTTCAGATGATTGCTGTAATCCTAGGATCCCTGTTCTTAATAGCCAGTGTGACTTGGCTCCTCTGGTCAGCCTTCAGCCCCTATGCAGTGTGGCAGAGGAAGGACATCCTTTTTCAGATCTGCTATGGAATGTATGGTTTTATGGATCTAGTGTGCATAGGTAAGACCATGACCTTCAACGTTAACACACTGTCAGTAATCCATTTCTTTCAGCGATTACGTTTTCAGCATTCGGATCTAATAGAGAATGTTGTGGATTGAGTTATCTCAGTTCTCCAGTTAATGAATTAGCTGCGGGTCACAATTGGGCTGCTTTTCTAAGAAAGCACAGAATCTATATTCCTGTGTAGTTTGAAAAAAAAAATTAACAGGATAATGCCCATTTAAAGTGAGATATTGTGCAACTGAAAGAAAGGAGGAAGGGTTGAAGAAATTATTTGGAGTGAATGATCTAAGGATAGTCATTTATTTCTAAGGAATAAGAGCAAACCAGTTGCCCTTTACAAAGCTGGGGGTCCTGGCCGATGCAAATGGCGTTACTGTGTTGTGCATTTGGGGAGAGGACAGACATCTCCATGTCTTACATCATGATGACTGTGCAGATTCTCTGAGGGCAGAAAGGGGCCCCTTGGAAGGTTAGGGACTTGGGGACAGTTTTCCTTGCTGGCCTGTGTCTCTTTGTTTTACTTAATAAACTCAGTGACTTAGAAGATAAAAAGAATCAAACATTTTAGCTAAAGTAAACCCTAGGAAAAGGTTACTTCTGTGTTTCATTTGACCTATCTATTGTTCTCTAGTACTGTGAGAAAACGGAAGCCAATCATGCAGCATTTATGTGGCATGTGTCAGGTGCACATGCATCGCGATGGTGACCAGTTGGCGAGGGGTAGAGCGGTGTGGGTGGCTGTAGGGAGGTACCACGGCATCCGGAGCATTTTCCTGCTCTGATGTGGCAGAAATGCACAGGCTCCACCCAGATCTACTGAATTAGGAACTTCAGGAGTGGGGCCCAGCCATCTGAGTTTTACAGCCCCTCCAAGGTTCTGACGCACGCAGAAGCTTGAGGACACCAGCTTCAGGGGATGGATGCTAAGCTTGGGATCAAGATACTTGGTTTCTAATCCTGGCCTCTGCTTGGGCAGGTCCCCTTCATCCCTCTATGCTTCTGTTTTCTCACCTATAAAAATGCGAAAGGATAATTCCAACCATGCAAGTCTAAATAAAGGAAATAATGATTATAAAATAATTATGTTATTAATTAGAAGTTATAGATTAAGTATATTTGATTAAGTTGGAAATGTTGAATAACTTTGAGATCACTTAAATTTAATGCCTCTACTTACTAGAGCTTTAATTTGACTAGCAATTTTAGTATCTTCAGTCATTCTTTTCTAAAAGAACTCTATAAATGTTTAAAATATGATCAGCATGATTTTTTGTTTTTACTTTTTTTCTTTGCTCTTTTCTCACTAGTACAAGTCCAGTAAGAAAGAAAATGATCAAATTTCAGGCCAGAAAGAAAAAAATAAAAGAGCAAATATTTTGAATAATATACAAACTGACTAGATGTTGCCTGAATAATTGAGCTAATCATGTATATGAACAATTTGCATGAAATGTGATAATGCATATGAAAGCATTTGGAAGTTCTAAATCTTTATTCAAATATAATCTCTAAGGCATTGCTCTAATAAAGAAGAATCACACAATTGATCCACAAATTGAATCCCTTAACACATTCAAAGACAGGGTTTATTCTGTCTTTCAGCGTGAATGATATAAAATGAAGTGTTCCATTGATATTCAAAGGGGAGATGCAAAATGAAAGACCCAGTTAATTCCCAAGCCAACCTGGAAAGGAAAAAAGTCCAGTTAACTTTCTTGCCCTCAGTATAAACACTCAAAAAGACCATGCATTTCCTGGTTAGGAAATGATTTTTTTTTAATTTCACGACTTACATTTAGTGCTGAGTTATTATATCTTAAATTCTGATGACTAATGTTAGTATTTTAGTCAAGATTATTACAATTCTGGTTTCAAGAGCAAAGACATATGAACAAATAATCTTTCAGTAATATATGACAATTTCAAGCTTCTCTTTTAAAATTTGAGCATTTGCCCATTTTATAAAATCAAATTTCTTAGAAACAAAAACAGTTGCCATTTCTCTGGAGATATTTTGGAGAATAAGTTTTTTTTAATTTTTTTAAAATTATGCTTTAAGTTCTAGGGTACATGTGCACAACGTGCAGGTTTGTTACATATGTATACATGTGCCATATTGGTGTGCTGCACCCATTAACTTGTCATTTACAGTAAGTATATCTCCTAATGCTATCCCTTCTCCCTTCCCCCCAGCCCACAATAGGCCCTGGGGAACATCACACACCGAGAATGAGTATTTTATCTGAGTCTTAAATATTGACAGTACGTTTCATTGTGTTTTGACTCATCAAGTCCTAATTTTATCATTACATGATCTATTTGTATATTTTGAAAAAAATTAAAGAATTCTGATTGAACATTGTTTATTTTACTTGGCAGTTTCACTAATTAGTCTGTTCTGGCCTGGAAAATATCTTAATTTTTTTCACCAAGAAATTAAGAAACTATTATAGTAAAGACAGCAAAATACTCATAGTCTACCAATAGCCAGTTGGATTGCAGCCAGGAAGAGCTCCTGCTAATATTTCAAATTAATTCAAGTGTCTGCAAATTAAATGCAGACAGTAACAAAGATCATATTGATTGTACCTTAAATACTCCTGACTGGAAGACTTAGAGTTCGAGTTAGTGTGAAAAGCAGGTTTACAACTTTGCATCCCATTTCCTCAGCTCAGTTTAATAAATATTTCCTAGGAACTTTCTATGTGTTGAATAGTGCTAGGTTCTGCGAATAAAAATAAGAGTCTCCCACTTTCCTTCCCCCAAGGAGCTCATGAGGAGGACAGGCAGGTAAGTAAGTGATTAGAATACAGTGGGATGTGCACAGTTGCGGAAGTATGCACAGGAAGGGGTAGTTGGACAACACCAGGAGGGATGAACCCTGCGGTGCTGTGTGTAGGGAGGGGAAGGTTTCAGGCTGATTTCATGGGGAAGTGATAGCCAAGAGATGAACAGATACTTGGCAAATAGAGAGCTGGCCTCCTTCTTGCCATGAGAAGATGTGAGATTGGTTCCCCATTCAAAGAGTTTTAACATAATTGGAGACATCCCTCTTTCCTGTCTGTCCAAGCTTTCCAAACTTGATTCTACCTAAGTAGAAGAAACAGGTTGGCAGCTTCATAAATATCATTTGAAAAAATTATTTTGAAAATCCATAGAAGATTGTTCCAGAATCCAAAAATGTTATCATCCAGCCAGTCTATGTAATGCTTAGAAGAGTTGGATTGTTAAACAGAAGTTAAGATTTGGAGAACATTTGTTTACTTGGGGAAATTTATGTACTTATTCCTAGGCACAGTGAATTTGTTTGTTGCTTTCATTCGTAATTAATACATTTTCCTCTTTCCCAATATTTAGTTTTTTTTTTCTTGCTATTAACCTTTTGAGTTTGCTCAAGGGTCTAGCCACTAATATAGTTGAAACATCTAGATCGGGGCTGTTCAAAATAACTTTCTGCAAGGACGAAAATATTCTGTATCTGTGGCATCCAATTCTATTGACACTAGCGAAATTTGGCTATTGAGCACTTGAAATGTGGCTAGTGAGACTGAGAAGTTAATTTTCAATTTAATTTAAATAGCCACATGTGGCTGGTGGCTATTACTTTAGACACAGATTCTACACGATGGAATGGCAAGTGTGTAAGAACTTGAATAACAGGTTTCCCTTTGTCTGTATAAATGGGTTGCATTTGCTAAGTGATAAAGGAACTCTTTTCCAAGAGAGGTGAATAAAGTGAAAATGAGCTTGAGAATTAAGAGAAGGGTGTTAAAGTATGTGTGATTGCCAAGAGTTAGTGATAAAGGAGAGACGTGTTAGACAAATGACTCTTTTTGTTACTGGACTTTTTAAGAATACTTCTATGGATCAAGTATGAATTTAATTTTCAATCTGTACTTATTATAAAATTCACATCTGTTTTAAGGAGATTAGAATGTAAAGAGATTCTATTTGGGGAGCACTTCTGCATATTTAAATAGATGGCATGATTGTACACCAGGAAAACTAATAGAAAGGATTTAAGTCACTTTAGGATTTAAGCTAGTGGCAGTAATTTAGGGAGAAGTAACAGCCAGGGAAGCTCATGTTGGCTCCCTGCTAAAAAAGATTTGCACAGTGGACAAAGGAAGATGAGCAGACCCAGGAATGAAGCCCACCTGCCCGGCAGAAGGCCTTGGGCAGAGGATTTGCTTCTTCACTCCACCCTGGACACTTTGAGAAAAAATAGAAGACCATCATTTCCACTGACCATTTGATTGAAGGGAAGCTAGTGCCACAAGAAGAATATGTTTATTAATCACTAAAAGTTTGAGGGACCAGAAGAGGGCCATGTGATTACAGGAGTTATTAGATAAACTTGCATCTAAAAAGTGAGGGCAGTCACCAAGTCATTTTAGCGTCCGATAGAACCAGATGAGGTGATTTCAAGTTCTTGTGAATAGAAGCAGCAAACCAAAACTCTGTTATGGTCAGTGATATTTGCAAAATAGAGATAGTAGTGCTTGTACCTCTAATCAACACTGCAAGTTAGTGGCAAATCCAAGTCTGGAAATGTTTTGATCTTCCCTCAAACACTATGGGAAGAAACTGATTACATTTATAACACTTAAAAACATGGATTGCTTTGGCCTCTTAAAATTTTTCCTAATTGTCCATATAATATACACACACATAAAATTTGTGTTTATAATTGTGAAATCTATAAAGTTAAAAAAGACCACTTAACTCACATCCTCAATTCTGCTATGCTACTCCCTTTGCAGAAATGTCCCCTCTCTGCATTTTGAGGTTTATCTTCCAGATTTTTTCATTAGGTTTACATGGGTTTAGGTACATGGATACTTCTGCATTTTATTTATAAGTGAGATCATACTGTACAAGGTGCTGAGAAAATAGTCTTTTTCACTCAACGATATAATCTAGAGATCTTTCCCTGTTATAACAGATGCACAACAATGTATTTAAACTTTTTTCTACTGATGAATTTTTAGGTT